CTCATTCGCCAATTTCTGAGTGCTTTCTCCACAACTTTCTACCCTTGTCCTTCCCGTCACCTTCCCACTCCCCCACCTGTCCTCCCTCTCCTTTTCCCCATTCAAACGTCATATCCAGCCCCAGCAGCGGGGGCTCAGTGGTTGAGCATCGACCTATGAACCAGGAGGTCACGGTTCATTCCCCGTCAGGGCACCTGCCCGGGTTGAGGACTCCATCACCAGTAGGGGGAGTGCAGGAGGCAGCTGGTCAATGATTCTCATGGTTGATGTTTCTCTCTCTCTTTCTCTCCCGTCCTCTCTGAAATCAATAAAAATGTATTTTTTAAAAAATATCCAGTCCTGACTGGTTTGGCTCAGTGGGTAGAGCCTCCGCCTGCAGATTGAAGAGTCCCCGGTTCGATTCCTGATCAAGGGCACAAGCCCGGGTTATAGGCTCCATCCCCAGTAGGGGGCGTGCAGGAGGCAGCCGATCCATGATTCTCTCTCATCATTGATGTTTCTCTCTCTCTCCCTCTCCCTTCCTCTCTGAAATCAATTTTTTAAAAAATCATATTCAAAGCCCTCCTCAGAACCAGCCTAGGGTAGAAATTAGAAGCCTTCTTCTTGGGCAAAGAGCTTCTTAGAAAGCAGAGCCCACCCTCCTTCTCAGACACCAAAGCCATTCAGCCCTGTCCATCTCTGCACAATGAGTCTCCCCCAAGCAAATGATCCGAGGACTAGAAAACCCCGAGGAAAACAGGAAGTGTGCACAGCAGGCCCTGGGCTGTGGAAAGGGGAGCCTAGAAACAGAGGAGCTGCCTGCGTCAGTGAAAGCCAGGTTTCTCGAGCAGCTTAGTCCCCGCCTTCACTCATCAAAGGCAAAACCAACTATCCCCATTTTCACGGAAAAGAGAGGCAAAGGCTATGGGATGAAGCTTTAGAACATCTGGTAGACTTTGGACGCTCTGCCTACATCTGTATAGATATATAACACCATGCCCACCATGAAACGAGATGGTGCTGCTGCCCCACAGGATGGGGGGCTTTTCCCGGTGAGAAGTGACTTAAATGACTTTATCATACCCTTTTGCTTCATTCTCCATGCAATCAGTTACACGCGTGTTGATGTGTTAGTGTTTGTGCACTAAAAATTCCATTTGCAGCCCTGACCGGTTTGGCTCAGTGGATAGAGCGTCAGCCTGTGGACTGATGCACGACCCACTGAACTAGCTCAAGAATTCATCTGGACCAAGCATGTCAAACTCAAAGGCTAACACGGGCCAAATAAATGAGGCATGTGGCCCGCAGGGCACGAGTTTGACATGCTTAATCTGGACCTAGCTCCCTACTGAACAGAAGGATTTGAAGATGTTTGGGAATTATTAAGTAAACAGTTCAAACTTGGAAAGGCTTGAGAAAAGCCAAAAGAAATAGGTGTTCATAAAAGAGCTCAACCTCTATCTGAAGAAGCACACATCTAATGGAAATTGAAATATAAATAAGTGCAAATTAAAAGTGATACTGCCTTGGGGGAAGGGGGCGGAGTAGGAGGGAATCTTTTCCATTTGGGGATAT